AATTGGGTGAATACATCTTATAACTGATTTACTGGTAGTCACGAAAAACAATACTCAATTCGAAAAATAACGTGAGGCTCTTACAAGAATGAGTTCCATCTCTGATGGCGTCCATCGTATGATGGACGAAGACTCAGCCAGCTTTCACCAGAAACGAGAGATGATGTCTCGGCGACTATGTCAACCTGAACATTATATTAAGGCTAAACGGTGGCATTACAACGAGAATTAGCCGTAATCTTCTGACAAGATCGACCTTCGAATCACTTCTTAATGCATTTTTACACGAAATGAAGCCTCCCCATCAATTTTCTCCAAGGCGATTCATCAAAACTCAGTTACTCTTGGTATCTACTGTTGCATATGAGATGTATTCATCCTATTTCGTTTAAGGTGATCAAAGATTGGTGGTAGAATTTTCACAAGATGTTTGCCGTTTTAAAAGTAGTCTGACCTCGTTTTCTTGAATTGGTCGTGTGGTCAGGACGACTCATTTGGATGCACCTTTTCCGAAGTCCTCTCCTCTATTTGATGTCATCGTGACCAGTTCAGCTGTTCTTCGTATCTGGCACCGTGAGGATGGTCGGAGGGGAGCTGGAGCGATTCGGATGCTATCCAACTCCACTCGGGAGACTTGACGCCCGGACAATATCGGTCAAATGTGTACTTTGAGGCTGGTCTTACGATATATGTACGAAGAAAGGTTGGGTTTCGAGAAATCTCTTGTTTCATAATTGTTGAGCTTACTTCCATTTCAAGTGAAAACAAGTTTTCTTGACTCGTTGGCTTGAATTTAGTTGTGACGATGATAACTTGCTCTGATGATGTTCGTCATATGACGGACGAAAACTCAGGACCATTTAACCGAAATCGAATGAGATTACCTCGGAAACAGCGGGTCAAGAGGAATCTGCCGTCGTCTTCTGGTGGAACCGACCTTCGCATCTCTTCACCCAACACTTTCACTCGAACTGGAAGTATGCTCAACAATTACGATATATACACGAACGCACACACGCACGTATACACGCAATTAGAGATGTTCACAAAAGTGTGTATATAGACTGACCAGGAGAAAGGGAAGAGAACGTCTGTATGCCTTCCGACTGCGAATCCTGTGCGACTTGAGTTGGGCAAAAAATGCCTACCTCCCTGCTCCCTTCCAGCCAATCAAATGATAGCGCGAGTTGAGTAGACTGAGTACTCAAAGGGCGTAGCCAATCAAGAGTGAGCATTTCTCCTAAAAGTCTTGTCGGCCTGGTTGTTCTCCGGCCTGTCTGTTCTAAAGGGGTCTCAGACACGCCTCGTGCCCACTCGAGTCTCCGACTGGTCTAAACTGGCGTTTAACCCTCTCTCCCGTCGGTCCGAATAAAATTCAGTTTTTTCCCACTTTTCTTCATCCGCCCGCCTCTCAGTTTCCCCCCGCATCAACGAGCCTCACTTCACTCCACCTCTGCCGCCTGGGCTGTAGCAAGTCTCACCTCTGCCCTGACAACTCGACTTTCCATGGCCCTCACTTGCCGCTTCCCAGTCGGACGACTGCCCTTGAACGTGGCTCGAGTCCCATCGCCGCCTCCACCGACTCTGTCAGAGGCCTGCGTCCCGTCGGTCGGATCGCCTTGTTTCGGCTGTCCCGGCGATGTGGACCTCCGGACACGAGGCGTCAATTTCGGCCTCGGCCTCAGCCTCGGGCTCGAGTCCGCGCGGTCAATGCCTACGGCCACGGTGGCCTCAACCGGCGCCGGCCTCGAAGCTGCCTACTCGGCCTATTACACCAGCATGATGGTCCATCAATTGGGCCGTCTGCCTGAGGCGAGCGTTTCCAGTCATCAACGAGTCGAGCACGCGGTGGCCGGCGCCTCGATCGAGTCCGGTCAGACGAACCTCTGCCGAGTCGTCCAGCCACCAACCCAGCCTCGGCTACAGCCCTGCTTCCCTCTAGACCCGGAGCCGTGTCGACAAATACACGCCTATTGGCCAGGCGAAACGGACCAGCCCATGGGCTGCTCGGGACTCGAATTCGAACTCG